CCTAACCCTGTGTGTTGGGGGGGGGCGCGTGTGCGTGTGCGTGTACGTGTGTGTGTGTGTGTGTGTGTGTGTGTGTGTGTGTGTGTGTGTGTGTGTGTATGTGTGTGTGTGTATGTGTGTGTGTGTGTATGTGTGTGTGTGTATGTGTGTGTGTGTATGTGTGCGCGCGCGTTCGTGTGCGTGTGTATGTGCGTGTGTATGTGTATGTGTATGTGTATGTGTATGTGTATGTGTATGTGTGTGCGTGTGTGTGTGCGTGTGTGTGGGCGTGCGTGCGTGCGCGTGCGCGTGCGTGCGTGCGTGCGTGCGTGCGTGCGTGCGTGCGTGCGCGCGCGTGTGCGCGCTCGTGCATGGGTACGTGGTCGTGTGTGTGCTTGTGTGCACCACTGCTTAAACGCATTTGCAGAATATAATGAGCAGTAACACTTAATTGAGAGAGATTTGTGCGTGGCTGTAGCGAAAACCCGAAGATTTAAAATCTACTTCGAATGTTATAGCTACACCATGAAACATATTTCAGTGCCCTACTCTCACCTGATATTATCAAGAATGACCTTCTTCTGTTTTTTGACCATTACTTCGTAATTGATGTTATGAAAGCTGATCAGCGATCCCAGATTAGTACTCGCGATGGGCTCCTGACTGTGCGAAGAAGCGTATGCGAGTCGTCTGTCTTCCATTTCCACTGCATCGGAGTTTGGTGACATTTTTCTTCTCTGTCTAACGTCATCGGCGGCTTGCGATGTCACCTCCATACTTGCGTATCGGCACGTGTGTTCGTCCGCTGTAGTACTTAGATGCTACCTCCTCTCCTAACTTTACAACGCATGTGAGTAGGACAGCGGTACGATCTGTCCGAGTGAATACGATCGGTAAACGTACGGTAGTGATGGCGGAACTCTTAATCTTTCCTACCAACTGGCTTACCAACATCAGTGTAATGTAAGTACTAATCGTTGTGTACATATTGACATACACATCTAGATCGTAGCTCTCAAAACATTCGCGTACCGCAAAATGTCGTCAGAAGCGACCTACTGTCATGACTATAATTCCCGAATAGATGTAATACTATATAAATAAACATGTTAATATCGTGTCGATTACTTATCAATGAACGTAAAATACATGTATGCGCATAAAAACGCTGCAATGTCATCGTTAAGGAAGGGCAATGGTGATCAAATATATGAATATTACATAATTATTGGATAAATCTATCTGAGACTTTACGGCATGAGACATCACGCTACATGACTGGTGGCAGTGCCGACAAATTACTCAATACGTAGTTGGCCGACAACGACCAATGTCCAAGTACTCACTTAATCATAGCGAAATCGACCAAACCATGGGTTTATTGACGAGTAAAGATAATACGTACACACACTACATACGCTCCCACATTTTGCTATTAGGCCCTACTATATGCGGTACCATCGTTGGAGATCGCCGCCAATTATAAGAATATGTGATTATTTCTTTTATTTGGAATATTTACAATCGCTCAGGAGTTTTGTTGCACGCGACTGTTAGCAGACAATTGCAATATCTACTGCACCTCCACCGGCCAGTGGCCAAGTTATATATGCTTTACATATATAGACGAGTAGGAGGAGATGCATCGATTCATCGTGACTGCACGCATTCTTATCTTTTTAGAACGAACGGGTCATCACGCGTTCTCACGTTCGATCGACGCCTTCTGTGTATATGCGCCACGCGTATTTCATCTCACCAGTTGAAAAAAATCATTCAACCGCGCTACACACATATATATAGACAAGAGCTAAAATTAAAAATACACGTATTATTAGCTCTTGATATAAGCCTAGTATCGGCGATACCGTCTGTCCATCTATCTCTACCTAGTTATCTATTTCTCTCTCCGTTCCCCATGTACATTAGCATTAGGGACGGAAATGTGGCGGGATGCTGCGACCGAAGTGACATTTTTAGATCGGATTTTACTATGGAAATTTTGCTCGGGCATTGCCCTGCCCATTTTGAGCGCGTAAGATCGGCCGAAAAATTATCTTTGTTGGCAAAGGCGACCAGCGACGCGAGGGCCATTCCTCGTGTACATGAGGGTTGTCGCTGGATGCTGATTTATTCGATTATTTACTTTATATTATTGTTTATTCATATGTATATTTACCGCAGTAAAATTATAACCCTTTTTACTCAATCAGCGACCAAATAATTTTTATTGCGGTTAAATTATTACATTTTACGTAACCATACGCCGTGCTAGATGGCATTTACCGATGCACGGATTAAAGCGCATCTCGGTCATTATCAACTTCTTTGTGTTGCCTCGTAATTGTGCCATTCGTTGTGCTGTGCTTGAAACGAAATCCGACCATGCTGAAAATTCTCAAAAACAATCTGGCAAAAGTTACGAGTGAAGATTGAATTGAAATCTGTGGTCTTTAGCATGAATAAAATCAAGAGATAAAATCCTTCTTTATACGCTCTTGATAAAATGCGTCTCGCATATGCGCCGAAACTTTCACAGCTCTGCATAAGGCCTGCTGCATATGGACGCCCTCTACCGTTGTAAAACAGCTATATCAGAGCACGTATATCATAATATATATATATATATATACGATATACGTGCTCTA